TTCCAATATATTCCTGCATATGACTAGTGCATTTGGCAAATAGGTATGTATAAGGTCCATTTCATAGATACGTTTTTTTAATGTTTTCCCAATAGCTTTTTCTCTTGACATTGGTATCTTATCTCCTGTTTCTTACTAAATACTGGAATCTAATCTTCTATATGGTAATAAATGTTGGAATTTTATCTTCTTTGTGGCAACAGACAATGTTAGATTCCAACAGTTCTTACCATATACAAGATTAGATTCCAGCAGTTACTATGAGAAAGGAGATTAGATATCAGCGTTCCCAGCCATATTAGAGATTAGACTTCAGTCTTTATTGGAATATAGAAGATTAAATTCTAGAATCCCTGATATATACGAAATTAGATTTCAGTATTTGTAATTATATAGAATAGATTCCAACATTTTTTATCATATAAAAGTGTAGTTGATTTGTATACAGGATTCTACCTATTTTCATATGCAGCAGAGATATAAAGTTTATAGTAAAGTAAGAGACGGGGGTAGTTGGCTACTGATCACGTGTTGTAGAATAATACCACCATATGGCGTCGTCAATAGCATGTTTACGTCGCTTTGATGAACCAGAATTTGTCCAGACTTCGGTCCGGTGTTTCTCAGGCCAGTTTAGGGCTAGAAAAATTGAAATACAACCAGGCCAGACGGGAAGAAAATGAAATAACTGACTTCACTCTAGTTTCGACAGGTTGTGTGGCTATGATAAAAATGTCTTTTTTGGCATACCCTAAACAATCGGAGAATTTGACTTTTGTCGAAATTTCAGAAATTATAAAAAAAAAACGTTACCGACCTAAAAAATAAACTTGCCAAAGCGGAAAGAACCAGCTTTCTTTCCATTGGGCAGAAAGAAATGGAATCAATTATATCAATTATAAAGCGATCACTTTATCAATTATTATCTTTGCAGATTGAGAGAGGCGAACAGATTCAGTTTTAATCAATTTCGGTGAATTTCCTGTCTTTGAAACAAAAGACGTTTAATTACGCGGAAGAACAAATATGGCCGACGTATCAAATATCTTTTGAAAACATTTCTTATCAACATCTGTCTATTTTGCTTTATTATCTTTTTGCGCTGTTTTCAGTTTTGCTGTTTCAAATAAATGTTTTTTTAAGCTGAGTAAAAAATTCTGAAAATGTTTGTGTATATTATGAAGTGGGATTTCCTTCAAATTTGATCAATGCAGCAGCAGTTGTTTATCTCGCATACCGAGAAGGGGTAAGGTTAATGTTATTTAGCAGCACACCACGTCGCAACGTCATGTGATACAAAGTCGAATTTAAGGTGGGTTTATTCGCAGTACCGCAGAAAAATTTTCTAGCCCTCTCAGCACTTCCCCATTTCAAGCAAGCCTCAGGCGCCGGGAAATAAACAGAGACCCCTCCCGAAGAAAATTACTGCCTGGGGTGAAGGCTCAATCAATTGCGTATCAGTTCAGCGTTTCATACGATCCGCCTTTCTGACGATAATTATCGTTCGAAATTGCCCGTATTATGCACAATAATATGTTCCTACTAAAATCTTTCGCAAAAAAAAACGTTCTATAATTATTTACCCGCTGCCCCACACAGCAAGATGTGGCACAAGGCCGAGTTTAAAGTTGAGTATCCGAGCCCGTAGGCTCGGGCAAAAATTCCCTACAGACCACGTAAAAACGGTGTCAGTTTCCCGAGACGAGACTCCGCCCCTCGGCAGAGCCTCGTCTGGGGTATACCCTCTGACATAAGCCAGGTAAGTCCTGATTTTTTTTTATTCGTTAAAAGTAAGACTCCTTGAAGAATCTAAATCGCCTGATCTTTTTTTTTTCCAACTTGTATTATTCTAACTGAAAATATGCTCTGAATTGAAAAATAATGAACGCAATAAAACTATGATATCTAGCTTTTGCCTGTTCTTCCAAGTCGGTGAATATGGAAAGCGGTTGATGGTTGTTTTTTTTTTTTGTTTGTTTTTTTTTTTTCGACAATCACGTTGATAAAAAACTACAGATCTTTTTAGAATTATTACAAACATTTTTTAAGCATTTGCAATACTGTATCTTACATGCAGGCGAGAATAATTCTAACACAACTGACATTCGACTCTAGATCCAATTCATAATTGTTTCTGAGATCTTGGGGGGGGGATTTTTGTCCGCCCTATAACCATATAAATCTAGATGCAACATTTTATATCTATCGTTACTCTAACGTATTGGTTCATAACCAGTAGTGCCCGCAACCTCTAGGGGTGCGATATCGGTTCCTAACGGGTGCCAGGATACGAATCTTTAGGGTTGATTTATTAAGGAAATTCTGATGTAGTATCTGACATAAATGCTTACATTATAGAAATTCTACCAATTGTTATCATCATAATTGCATAATTTTGTTTTATTGCTAATATGAAAGTGATCTAGGATTATTTTGTTATCTGTTAGGCGAACAAAGAATAAAGAAACAAAGAAAAGAATGGTTGTTGGTGTGTAAGGGA